GTATTGTGTAAAAAGAAGTTAAGAAGTTGGGGCAAAATTATAATTTTTAAATAAATTCTACATTTGTATTGTAGTTGTCCAGTATTTTTAATACATCCATGGTTTGTGTCTGACAGTTACGATATGAACATGAAGTGCAGTCCAGAAACATTTTCAACTTGACGTTTTCCATCTCTCAGAGATTTTTTGCCTTTCTTCAGGTTTGACACCATCATTGTTGTTTCAGCTCTTATTGCCACCATCATAAACTCCGCCTTGAAGTCATGTAAGAGCTGTTTGTTTTATTGTTAAAAAATGAGAATACAGTATATAATAAACAAACCTTTAATAAAAACATATGTAAACTAGTCTTTAAAGTGATCACAGTTGTTAACTGTAACTCTGCGATTGTTACTGTCCACAGAAAGGAAATTGATATCTGTCACCAAAATCGTGTATTTTACTCGGTAATAATTTATGTCCTCCTTAGCGGGAGGATACACCAGCCGACAGATCCTGGACATTGTCTTCATCCTGCGAGTCCTCAGACTGATCCGAGTGGTGGACAGCATCCAAAGGTTTGATAGGCCTGCTGTCAGTAATACATGTTTCTGAGTTTGCTTGGAAACAGTGCATTTACAGAATCAGAAAAAAAAAAAAACATGTTTTTTGCACTTGCTTCATCTATGAATGTACTTAAGAACCAGAAAAAGGACTTCTATGTTTTTTTCTCTCTTCAGATTTATTTATGTATCTTTTGAATTGATTCATATTTTTAGTAAGTAATGACATACATCTGAAAATGCTTTGCTTCTATTTTCTGTTAGATTTCGTACAATCATCAATACACTGATCAGAATTGGACCAGCCATTCTCACATTTGGACAGCTCATTATTGTAAGTAGTCATCAGGGATTGCTCGCTAAAACTTCAAAATGTCTGTGGTGCAGGTTCACCTCAAACACCTACATRTAGATCTGTGGTGTGTAAACCACAACTACAGCTAAATATTTGACTAATGCTGGCCTGCTGGTATGCATAACTTGCAGAAATCTTTTAGATTTGTAAAATTTGCAGCAGTGAGCTTGTGAAAGGAGCAACAAGTCTGGAGATATATAAACWGAAGGAAATGACCTTGTTTGACATATCAACAATGCATTGCACCAGGTGAAAATTAGCCTGGTTTAAACCAGACCCTGTCCTTCACTTTGCTTCGTACAAGGGTCTGGACTTGATGCATAGAGATGTGATTCCTGCAGGAGGCGTGGCCTCTGCTGACGCTTGTGTGTGTTGTCGGTGTGACGGAGGCTAAGCTAAGTAGCTAACCGGAAATCGCTGTAAACAACCCTACTGAGAGGAGAAAAGTACAGAGCTGAACGAGACGACTGTAAATGCTTTGTCAGATAAATTTATTTTAATTTGAAGTCTTATCAACACAGACTGGCTTCATTCACTTCCTCCACTGCYGTATGCTAAAATAACTAGCAGACACTGCGCAGAACATCAACGTCGTTCAAAAACTCCACCTTCTGTTTGCTGATTGGCCCAGGTAAAATAAACTACAAGCAGACACTGCACAGAAAATCATCGTTCTCGTC